TATGGTAAAATAAATTAAAACCAAATTTTAAAAAATGAGGCGACGAGCCCTACGAAATCCCGTATCAACTGATTATTCAGAAAAGTTGCTAGAGGAAAAGTAAGAAAATAAAACCGATAGAGATGATGTTTCTGATCAATTATTTATAGTGGATTAAATAGTATAGATGAGTAGACGAGTTTATCTATGTAAAGGGGTGTTATCAGGGCCTCTTTTAATGTGGCTAAAAGGAAAAATAAATTCCAAAAGCCCAGCAGTTCTGTAGGCCGCTACATCGATTTTTAATAAACAATAATAATTTACAAATAGATGAATATTGAGTCCAATAATAATGGAGTGGAATGGAAAATCTATAAAAATTATTTTTTTACAAACCTGATTTGACTTTGATGAATTTTCAGCAAAATATATACCGGCCCCAAACATCCCTCCAATGTAAGCATGACGTTCATCAAAACCTTTCATCACTATGGCTTGAAGAAAAGGAGAACCGTGGAAAAGAAAGCGTTCATTGCAATGGCCTGAATTGTCTTCAGCAACTTCCTGACAGCGATGGAGATAGCGCTCCCATAAACGCTGGTTTCGAATTCGAGATACCTTCAGAATCATGTAGCGCTTGAATATGCCGCCACAATTATCCTTATGCTCTCGAATAGTACTTTGCATCTGAAGAAAATAACGATAACATTGTTCAAATATTGTCATAGAAATGGGAGAAAAGAGCAGAATAAAATAGATTATTCCACATAAGCAGAACCTTCGTGTTTCCAATATAGAAAAAACCTCAGGGTCCAATAAGCTAATTCCCCAAGATAGAAAATGGCCAATTATAGTTCAAAAAAATTAAGTTAATTAAAAGTAATACCAGTCTCGAGCAATAGGCATAAGAAGATAACAAATAACATTTTAAAAGAATGAGATGAACAATAACAGACAAATAGGTTCTAAGAATATTTGCGATAAATTCCATGAAAATACGATTAAAGTCCTTCAGATTGATAAATGAAACAATGACTCTTATAAGTTGTATATAGACAAAATCAAGGTTAATTAGTCAATCAGATTCATAATATGCATAATCAGAAAAAAAACAAAGCGTGGAATTGCATCGTTATTATACGGTTTAGAGCTA